GAACCTGGCTGGCCGCTAATAAACACCCCCAGACCTCGAGCCATCTTTACTTGATGACTGTTGGTCCGGAAGTGGCCTAGTGCATTTTTCCTGCGCAGGTGCTGTAATCGCACAATCCGCAGCCCTGGGAGGTCTGATGCACTGTTAGCTTACCTGATCTTAAATTGGGACTCACTGAGAAATACTTGTTTTTTCCGCACTCCCTCCCAGTGCAACCAAATTTCCACCATAAAATTGCCAGCAACCCTTACCAGTGTGGGATAGGCAAAAAAAAATATATATATATCCCCCTATCCAACAGCCAATCAGGATGAAGGTCAAACATTCCTATCCAGCCCCTAAAAAAGGCAGCCAGAAGAACTCACACTAGAATAGTGTGAGAAAGTGGGTGCCTGAAAAAGAAGAGGACGGTTAGAGAGGAGAACTCCCTTTATATAGCCAGGGGCATTCTCCTGCTCTTTGAACAAGTCTCGTGAGATCCTGAAGTTCTAGCACCATCCGTGTGTGGGGGGGGGGCAAAGCTTAGTTGCGTTGCCCAAAGCCTCGTTGGCTTGGCAGCATCTTCGTCATTACGGATTGCAAGGTCCAGCACAGTGACAGAACAGAGTTTGAAGGCAACTAGTTTCAAATAACTAGTTATTTGTAATGAATTCCATTACATAGTAATTAAGACTTAATTAAGTGACATTGCTATTGTAACTGGAGATGGGCATGAACGGCCAGTTCAGCAGTTTCAGCCAAACAGGTGTTTGGCACTTCCCAGCCCCACTTCCGCCAGGTGCTGCCAATGAGTGAGTGCCCACTGGAGGAGGCAAGGCAAGGAAGCGCTGAACACCTGTCCGGCTAAAATTTGAACTGGGACAGATCACTGAACTGGCAGTTTGTGCCTATCTCGAATTGTAAAAAAAAAGAAGAAGAAGGGGTAACTTCATTTGTTTTGCAGCATAACCGTAATGTCTAGCTATCTTTATAGCTATCAGGATCTGGCCTAAATAGATGATGGAGAAAAAGCATTCCATGGTTCCTATATGAGTTTATGCTGGGCTGGCAGCCATTGTAATCTGTTCTATTGTGGTGTTGAGAAGACAAGAAAGTAGAAGAGGGGGGGGCAGTGGATTCTGCATTACAGCCAGGTGGTTTACACCATTCAGGTGGATGGGATGGGGTGGTGGTTACTGGCTGCATAGTTTCAAGAACTGGGAAAATTAAATTTTGATTTGTAAAAAAACTGTAACAGTAACTGACTATGGGGGGGGGGCTTTGGAACAATAATTAAGTCATTACTTTTCAAAATAACTTTCAAAACTCTGTAATGAATCTTGCCAGGTATAAATGAGTACTCTGGGGGGCTTTGAGACAATAATGGTAACTGATTACTTTCAAAGTAACTTTTTTTAAGATTTGTGATTAATCTTGTAATAATCCAGAAATTAGATATTATTTATTGGCTGCCTTTTCTCCAGTGAACTCAAGGTGGTGTACATAACTCTCCTCTGTCCACATTATTATTTTCACAAAAAGCCTGAGAAGTAGATCAGACAAAGGTATTATGGCTGTGACTTTGCCCTGTGACTCGAGTGGCTTATGGGGGAGCTGAGCCCAGGCCTCCTAAATCAGTCGAACACTGTAACGATAACATCACACTTTAAGGGTGTATCCTTTGCATCTGCGTGAGTAAGCATGTAAACATGCTCTAAATGAGCTTTTTTTGAGAGTTGGGAAAAGTATGAGAAAGAACAGGCAAGTAGATGAATATTGTTATTATTATTGGAGCTGGATGGCGCAGTGGTTCAATTGTAGCATTGCAGTCAAAACTGCTCACGGTCAGTGTTCAATCCCAGTTGATTCTGACATCTGGCTTGAGGTTGACTCAGCCTTCCATCCTTCTGAGGGTGGTAAAATGAGTACCCAGCTGTATGATACCCTGTATAATGAAATTGTAGAAAAGTGCTTTAAGTACTGTGGGGTAGTATATAAGCAGCACACTTTGCTTTTACTAACAGATGAATAACTTCTCGAGAGAGCAAATTATTTTGATGAAAACATTTTGGAGAGAATGGTAGTGTATACTTCACTAAATGAGGGAGCAAAAGTATTCCATGGTTCCAAGTGACTGTCCAGTAGAATAAACCAAGATTAATTGAATCTTAAAGTGGCAATGAGGGGAGAAAGGATGATTGGGGAGGAGGGGGTTAAATTATTTGAACACACCATATCTGCTCTATGATCAAAGAAAAGGAGAGAAGAACCACTTAAGAGGAACAGATCTGCTGACCCCAGAGAGTATGAATCATGTTATTGTTAGTATCAGTTAAGAAAATTAGGAGGACTATACAAAAATTTATGTTGCATGAGGGAACGATGGCCCTTCTAAATGTCTACAAAATTGCGCAGACATGTATGATTTCTGGCATAAAATGTCCTTTCATATGTTTCCCTATGTGGGAATATGTGCACTCTCTTCTGAAAGATGTTCCTGGTAGGATTTGATATTTATGTGGACTGCCAAAGTATCAGATTATGTTGTAAAGTCTTGCTCCAAAGGGTTTACCACATAATATTCCTTGAGCTAATATTATGCTACAGAAGGAGCTATTTGCAGTTTTTGTGAGAAAAGTGGAAAGCCAGGATAGGGGTGGGTTCAATCTTATTTGGGATAGGGGCATGGCGAAGAACCTCATTTGCCAAACTCACTAAACAGGACCAGAATGAACTTTGCACAAATATTAATGGAAATTAAAGTTGTTGTCATCATAACATGTGAAATAAATCAGAAAGAAAGGCACAGATCTCTGCTTCATACACTTCAAGAGCAAAAATAGGTCAAATAATGTCTATGGTTTCCCACAAATAAATGTAATTTCAGGAAGAAAAGTGCTGTTTTCATAAGAGATCCGTTCTGCATTCACCTTTGGCAAACTAGAGTAAGGCAATAATTTATATTGTCAGGTGTGTACGTCATTGTATATGTACTGTAACTGAAATTGTCCCTACATGTTACCAGTCAGTGGCGCTCATCTATGCTGGTTTGGGATTTCAGGCCAATGAAACACAGTGCCAGGACAACATGATAAAATTCACTCATGCAGCGGACAGCTCCAGTGACCAGGTACACAGTCAAGATGTGTACCACCACCTTATCAATTAGCCTCAATTAACTGCAGCATGTCATGAAAATCTTACAGGTACACCAGGAGGATTCCATCCAGCCTTTTTCTAATATAATGCTTTGTGCCTTTGGCCTACATGTGCCAAGTGCTCAGGAAAATACCACCCACCCTTCTTCTTTTTCCGACATTGAGAATACTGGAAGTGTAACTTTGAACAGCTACGCAGGGCTCCATTGAAGAGTTATATGGCACATGGTATTTGAACAGTTGGAAATGGATTTTCCTGGTTTCAGAACTTATGGAGAACTGGAAACAGCTGACACATGATGTCTATGATTCACAGTCATATATGTACGGTGATGTAGACTTCTGGGGAGATTCCAAAATTCTAAAGTTAGATACAGCATTTCTTTCTACCAGTAGAGAGAATTTTTAACTTTGCTTATATAATTGCTTCTTCACAACAATGATACATGCTTCCTATCTCATTAAGGGTTCTATTGAGTGCTGCCTCTTAACACTGCCCATTTCCAAATATGAGTTTTTAGAGAGATAAATCATCCTGATACCTTAAAAAATAATGAGCGACCAGTATTAGTTCTTCCTTCAAGGTTATTGAAGACATAACAGAAAACATGGAACATCTAACTTTAGGCACAACTAGATGGGGAAATTTGGAGAAATTCAGTTTGTAATTAAAAGGTTCTTATCTGCAGCATGATTTATTTTATCTCACACTTGAATGATTTTTCTGTTCACACAGGAGACATTTCTTCTCTTGTGAGAAATATCTAGACAGCACTTTATACTACTTGAATTTCTCCACCTTTTAATTATTAATACCCCCCTTCCAATTCCCTGCCTTTTGTTTGTCTGCCTGCCTGCTTGTTTGTTTGTTTGTTTAACTTATATGCCGCCCACACTACCCAAAGGTCTCAATTTAACTACAGTAAAAAGGATTAAATAATTAAAATACAATTAAAATACATACACTAAAAGTTGCCATCAGGACCCACAGTTGATATTATTTCAATTAAAAGCCTTCTGGAACAGTTGCAGTTGTCATTCCATAGGCCACAGCAACATCTTCTTTCTTTCTTTCTTTCTTTCTTTCTTCTTTCTTTCTTTCTTTCTTTCTTTCTTTCTCTCTCTCTCTCTCTCTCTCTCTCTCTCTCTCTCTCTCTTTCTTTTTGGTCCAGTTTTGTAAGTGGCATAGTGCTACAGCAATATATCATCCTATCATGGCTACTTTCTTATATCTGAAAGAGTGCTGCGTCACTTAGCCAGTACATGTGAAAAGAGGAAAATACGGGAGAGGTCTTCTCCACCATCTTTTCTACTGCCACAATCCATCACAGGGTTGTCACTGAAGAGAACACCACGCACAGTTCTATTTGAGAGCAAATTAAGCACCACACAGATTACAGAATGGGATAACCAAGAGCACTCCCAATCACACCAAATACTGTACATTGCATCCCCTGGAGTTGTACCAGAAAGGAGCAGAACACCTCACAAAAGGAGTGGGATGGATCACTCTTACTTGAAACACACATGTTCACTGGAAAAAAAGTGCAAACCAGACTGCACGCAAAGGGAACCAAAGGTTGAGCTATATGCTCCTCTGACTGCCCCCAAAGTATTCTTATTGGCAGTGGTCCATAAAGCAGTGAAAGATGTGAAACACACATTGGAGAGGTAAGATAAAATATATTTCTCCTCAGAAAACAGGCCAATAAAAATGTTTGAGAGATGGTGAACCATATTTGTTAGTTTATTTATTGGTACAAGACTTACCACACTTTTACATTCCAACAGAACTTCTTGGCTGTTATGGAAACTAAAGGAACTCACAAGAATATTTTAAAAAGCAAAATGATACACAAAAAGTGATGTACTCAAATTAAAGCAGTGGAATGCAATAGCAAATAAACACCAAGCACACCATTACTTGGTTAGCCATTTTCACATTTATATCCAAGCAACATAGAACAGCACCACATGCAATAGTTCTCGTGTATTTGCATGTATGCACCAAGAAGGAAATAGGATTTCTGTAGGCAGATGTTGTTGCCAAAGCAACAAAGAGTCCCATGGAGCTTGAGGAATAACCCGCTTTATCTGGCATAAGCGTCTGTGGTCTGAGGCCCACTTCTCTCAATGCACTGGGCAAGAACACTGAACCAGAGAGTAGAGAAAGGAAACACAAGAGAGGGCAATGGCATGATTTTCAGAGATCCCTTCTGGCTAAAGGATTAAGGAGGAGTGGAGAATGGATGCAACAAAGGGAACATTAAATGCTTAGGTGGCATCCTTGAATAGAATCCAAAGGAGGAGACAAAGAAGGCAATGCCATTTTCACTTGGAACAGTGAATACAATGGCTGAAATCTCATCTGTAATACTTGGCAAGTGCAAGACGAGCAGCATACCTTTTGGAATGCTGCGTGTCTTGCAGCATTGGACATTTCCCAGGCCCACGCGTTTATTTTATACAATCTTTGGTTTCTTCGTTCTGGCTTTGAGGGCTTTGTCCTTCTTACAGCTGGATGTTCTTTGTGAAAAAGGAGGGGGCTGCTGACATTTTCATACTGCAGTGACTTGGATGCCTGGGCTAGCAGATATCCACTGAATTACTGGCCCTAGAGTAGTCACACACACATCTTCCAACATGGGCAGTGCCATATCCACCAGCTACACAATTGCTACCTCTGTGCCTCTGGAAATCTCTGAAGATGTTGCCACAACCCTTGGTAGAATAACACCCACCACCCGGGCTGGAATCTTCACCTCCAGAGGTACATGGATTAGCCACATTTTTAGAAATCTTTCTAGCAATGCATCCCATTTTGTAGCAGTCTTTATCTCTGTGGCCTGTTCCGTTTCTTCGACTTCCAGAACTGTATTCTCCACTTCTGCTGCTGAGCCTTCCATTTTGAGAACTGTACCCAAGGACACTGACACAGCCACCAACGCCTTTGCTTGGGTTAGAGAATACCACTGGAATAGAGAACATGTCCAAAGGATAGCAAAGCAATACCAGAGCAATACTAGATCCAGGGTAATAATATGCCGTATATTTGGTAAGGATATACAGTACTGTATTGCCATATAAGATTTCCCAGAACACCCTTTGATATGAATCCCATTGTTGCCACATTCTCCTGCCTGATGTTTGATCAGTATCTTTCTCTGACCCCCCCCCGAGTGAGACAGTGGTCAAGTAGACACTTTTGTTTGTTTGTTTGTTTGTTTACCACCCCATTAGTACACACAGTACTCTGGGCGGTTTACAAGTTAAAAGTTACAACGTTATAAGTTACAAAACTTCAAGACCCTGCATGATACCACATATAACAAGGCAGCAATTTTAAAAAATTCATTTAAAAGGAGAAAAGAGAAAACAAGAAAATAAAAATAAAATATTAATATTAACAGCACCAGGAAGACTCAGTTGTCAAAGGCAGCTTTGATTATTCTGTTTCTAATAATGTTCTGAACATAAGGAGGGAAAGAACAGTTATGGGAGAGCTGTCCCTGGAAGAATCCACCATTTATACTTAAGCTTTACATGGTTCATTGGATGAAATCCTATTGGTGTAATTATATCCATAGAAGGGTTATGGTGTCACTGGCAGGAGGACATTTTCAGTAACGAAAGACTTCCACTTTCTTTCCCACAGTTTGTTTGATTTGTGAGTAATCCATTTCATCACATGGCAGCTGTGGTAGCCAAGAGATGGAAGGAGGAAGTCTTTAATGATTGAGAATAATTTACTGCCAGTAATGCCACATAGTGACACTGATTTGGGGGCATGAAAGACTTCTTCCTTCCATTCCAGGGCTCCCACAGCTTCCATCTGATGAAATTAATTACAAGTGTGGCAGAGAAGAGAGAAGTCTTAAATTGCAGAAAAGTTGCCCCAACTGATAATATCATCTCTTTTCTGCACACATAACTATGCCTAGTAGAATCCAACCATTCATTCCTTCACACTTCCAAGGATTTCAGACAGAAAGTCTAGGGAAGACTTTTGCCTTAAACTTTAGGGGGCTGCTTTCAGTGTGAGAAGATACAGAGTATAGACCCGACACTAACTTGAACTACAGTTCCCAGAATCCCACAGCCACTGGTCATGTTGGCTAGAGAGTCCTGGGGCTTGTCATAATTTTTTTTTTAAAAAAATAAGACTTCCAGGCTTGAGTAGATGGCATTGAGATAGAGGCTGGACTATTAGCTGAACATTACATACAATGGTTTTTAAATTGAGCAACAGAATAGAGTAATACATGTAAGCACTGGAACATTTCTATCTGAATGTACCACTTTTAAATACTTCCACTGTTTAGATTTTTCTTTTTCTTTTATTTTTTAGAAAGTGAAATTCCTGATCTCTGCTAGTTTTCTATCAGCAAGGAACTGTTGTTAATAAGGAAGCATTCAAAGGTATACTTAACTCATTGACAGTTTGAAATGGTTGGCTTTTGATCAACACAGATCTCAAATGCCTCATACCTATCACATTTTGTCACTTGTGTATAAAGATTCACAGCCTTTTTTTAGAATAATATTTACAATATCAAGAGCTAAACTTTACAACTACTTACCTCCATTCCTATGATTTCCAGAAAATAACCTGTATGGGATAGATAAATAATATAGCAAGATCATACGAGAAACCATATGTTTTCTCACAGAAGTAGGAATTGTATTTATCTAGCCAATTACTCTTTATCTGTATACAAAATACATATGCCATTTTTGATGGGAGAAATATCCAGAGTGGTAAATAGAATGGAAAGGGAAATAAAACAATTCAGAAGAAATACTAGAAACAAAAATATCAGGAAAAAAATTATACAAAATAAGGAATTGCCCCCCATTTTTGTAAGGGCAGCTGAGGAGATAAGTCAAAATTGACCAGATAGGCGGGGTATAAACGGAATAAGTAAATAAGTAAATAAATAAGTAAGTAAGTAAGTAAGTAAATAAATAAATAAATAAATAAATAAATGTGGCAGAAATGGTGCCTCATTGCCCAGATTGAAGGCCTGCCAGCAGAATGACATTCCTGACAGACTATATATAAAAGTCTTCCTTTTGTTGCATATCTCTGAATCCCATCTACATTTTCTTCTGGTGCTTGCTTTTTATTGGACACTGAACATTTATTTTTCATTGCGAAATAAACATTTTTAAACATTTCCCCCAATGATGCTGGGCGGATTAGCTCAGTGGTTTAGGTATCTGGTTGCAGAGCCAGAAGTTGGGAATTTGAGTCCACATTGTGCTTCCTCGAAGAGCCAGCCTGTGTGAACTTGGGCAAACGGCACAGTCCCAGGTTGTCCACAGCAGATGACAATGGTAAATTTCTTCTGAGCATTATCTACCTGGAAAACTTTGAAAAGGGCTGCCATAAGTCAGAATCGACTTGAAGGCACATCATGCGGATTATTTCCCCAGCATCTTCCTTTAGTTGTACACTTCACTTCACTGATGAATTTTTCATATTGACAAACATGTGTTTGTGTGCATCCTGCCCTTGCATGTATTTTAGCCATTCACATTCTAAAATATGTGGGTTATTTCCTGTGCACTGTTTCTGAGAAACATCCTTTAAGACTTGCAGACTCATGGATTCTTAAGGCAAGGTGCGTTTCTTCTCACCATGACTCTTGTGATGATGAAAAAGAATGACTTTCGCTGAAACAAACTATATCCTTTCCCACTCCTAAAGGGGTGGGGAGGAGAAGATCTTATGAATCTAAAGTTTCTGTTACGAGCTGGATTAAGAAAAAAAATGTTCATCTTTAGTCCAGCCCTTGCTGGTGGACTCAGGAGGAGCAGATAGCTGCAACATTGATATAGACAACTTTTCTGTATCTCATAGGAAAGTAGTCAAATAATACCTGGTTTCCTCTCCTTCCAGCAGTGACTTGTATGTGGTAATCTCAATATCCAGAGCCATTTTGTCTTGGAGAAGCTCCTGATAGCTTTGCCGCAGGCAGGCCAGGTCATCCTTAGAGTTCTGCAAAGCACCATACAGTTCATCCTGTTTGTCTTGGGCATCTTTAAGGCTACAGCTACCACGCTGCTGGGCGTCGCAAATGGCGGACTGCAGGCAAGCAACCTGGCGATGGAGTAAACAAGATGTCCTACTGTCTTCAAAGAGAATCTTAACATTTGTCATTCCAGAAATTTAACCTTTGTCCCTCTCACATCAAGCATTTATTTGGCCCACATCAAATTCAAAGACCGGGATCCTAATATACAAAGGGGGCAAATTAACCATCAGGATTCTGCTGTGTCCCTTCTACAGGATCCCTATGAAAATCTGGACTGGGGAAGCTTTTGTTTACAAGAGATGTAATCCAGTAATTCTGCCTCATTAGTCTAATGATATCATCAGACATGACTGTATTTTGGTAATTAAAAAAAATTCTTCTCTTCCTCCCCCTGCAAAGGTTCCCAGGCTCCTTTCAGATAACTTTGGTCCTGAAAATCACTACCACCGGTTCTGGTGGATGTGGCAGGACTAGCGGTGGTGATTTGCAAACATTTCAGACTTCCTGCCCCATCCAGCTGTTAAGATGTAACATTTTATATGTATAGAATGTAAATAAAAGTTAAGGGGCGTGTGGAAAACGTAGCCCTGAAAAATATACATTGTACTTTTAAAATGAAGCTTGAACAGCATTTTACTAAAAGTCACCGTCACCCCAACCCAGTCACTCGAACCACAGAGAGCATGCACGCAAGGCTGCAAGCAAATCTCCAATAGTATCTCTTTGCTATTGGATTTCAGTCAATATTTGTTTAATCAGATTTTTCTCTCAATGGCAACACTGCAAGTGGCTTCTGTTAGAGGCCACTGTACCAAATGCTATTGGAGACACCATAATTTCAGTAATACAGTAAAATTCCTCCATGTTTACCTGTTTCTTTTTTCTCTCTGTTTCACTCTTCAGCCTCTGAACCATCCAGCTCAGTTTCCCAATCTCACATCTGAAGGTCTTCAGATCCTGATACATCTGGCATCTTTGCTTCTTGAGCTCTTGGTACTGAATGCTCAAAACAGTGGGGGGAAATCATTAGGTATGATAATTATGAGGTTTTATTCCCTTTATGGCATTAGTGTGCATTTCTTATAACACATAGCTTTATTCAAATATTGTTCTAGTCACACTATCATCCTAATCTTTGTCATCCCCAAAGCATCCCGCCCTTTGCTTGCACGTTTCCACTGGCAAAATGATTAACCTGTATTTTTCAAAAGAAAAAAAGTAAAGAAAAGTGGCCGTTTTGTGGTGGTTTATCAGACTCCTAGGTTTTCTGTACAAGATACACATAAGATTGTTCACCTTGCTTCTGTACAAAACATTAGCTTCTTCTTTGCTCCGCTGTGCAACACTCTGATACCAGGATTCCACATTCTGGAGGACAGAGGTCACATCCAGGTCCTGTCTGTTATCCATCTGCATAAGAACGGCGGCTTCCTGAATCTGTTCTTGAAGTAGCTCAATTTCCTAAAATTTGAATATCACACTCCTAGTAAAAACACACCATTCATCACGTTGTAAACAGATTGAAGACAATCTCCTAATGCCTGTTAAAGAGTACTGTGTCTCAAACCATCCACCAGTCAGTGCTTGTTTAGGTTCCATGCATTCAGTGAGTCTACTCTAATTAGTACAGAAAACTGGAATTAAGGTATTACTTTGGACATTTAAGTATGGGGTGATTTATTTATTCTCAGCATTTACAACCTGCCTTTGATACTGACTCCCACCCTCCATGGAGTGCTCACAATAAGAATGTGAAAAACAATAAGAAAAGAATCATAATCTAACCTTAACCTACAATAACGTCAGGGAGCCACTGACAAATAGAGAAGAGAAAACATGTTATTAAAATCCCTGAGGGTATCAAAAGATCTCAGTTTGTACCAAGATGACATCAGAAGAGATGCCAAATGAACATCCCGGGGGATGGCATTCCAAGATTGGCTGTGTCCACACTTGGGATCCTATCCTAAAATCCCTGAGGGTATCAAAAGATCTCAATTTGTACCAAGATGATATCAGAAGAGATGTCAGATGAACGTCTCTGGGCATGGCATTGCAAGATTGGCTGTGTCCACATTTGGAATCCTATCAGATTATTTTTTCTATTTCTTTCCAAAATTTCCTAATAAATTTGCAACCCCACCATATATGATATAGTGTTCTTTTTATTGTCTTACATCTCCAACATTTATCTTTCTCATTTTTCTTCACCTTTGCCAATTTCTCTGGTGTCATATGCCATTATATAATATTTTCATATAATTTTCTTTCAAATCTGTACTTATTAATAGTTTTGGTTATCATTCCATGCTCTATACCAATCCTTTGCTTGAATTGTTTTACCTAATTCCTGCATCCATTTTATCATATTTTCTTTAATTACTTCCTGTTCCATGTTTCTTTCCAATAATAGTTTATACAACTTTGCGATTTGGTGATTTTCTTTTCCCCATATTATCTTGTCTAGTTCCATAAGTTCTCTAACCAATCCTATTAATTTATTATCCATTTTCATTGTTTCTGATAGCTATCTGTGTGGAAACCACTGGCATATTATTCCTACTTTTTTCTTTTCTTGTCTTGTTCTTAATCTTAGTTGTCCATCATCTCCCTCTATGAGCAGATCTTTATATGTTAACCACTTATCATTCTTTATGTCAGTTTCCTTTGAGAGAACTTCATGGTTTGCAACACTGGAATCCCACAAAAATTTCCCTTTATATTTCTCCCATACTCTTATTAATGCTTTTCTTATTACATTATTACCAAAAGCTTTGTTCACTTTCTTTTTCCATACCATAAATATGCATGAAGTCCATATTTTAAATCTTTGTTTTCTAGTATTAATATTTTTTCATCCTCCAGTCTTATCCACTCTCTTAACCATTGTAGTGCTGCCGCCTCATAATATAATTGGAGGTTTGGGAGACCCCATCCTCCTCTCTTCTTGTCATCTTGCAAGTATTTCAATTTTATTCTTGGTTTTCTCCCCTGCCAAATAAAATTTGAGAGTTTTCTCTACAAATGAAATGGCTTGTTATTTATTATTATTGGGATATTCTGAAATAGGAATACAAATATAGCCATTCACATTCTAAAATACCATCATTTTGATAATTGCTATTCTGCCCATCAATGAGATTTTTAAGGGTTTCCATCTTTCTAAATTTTTCTTAATTTCTTTCCCTTTCTTTTTTCAAATAAGTTCTTTGTTTTTTTAAAGGTATGGAGTGCTCATAGCCAATGGATATTTAGTATGTTTTACTTGTGTAATGCATGTTTAATCCAGTATTTCATTTTCATTCCGTCTGTCTGATGAAATGGACTTATCCATGAAAGCTTACATTGAAATATAATAGTCTTTAAGTTGCCACATGTTTTTCCCTTGTTTTGTTTTATTTTGTTTCTTTGGGTTTTGCATGATATGGATTCTCATTGGAGGCAAATAGGGATGGTTCCATTTGGAGAGAGATCCATAAGAGGATTCTTTACCTCATTATGCACACATCTCAGGAATTCGATCTCCCCTTTCATTGCTGTTGCCTTGGCTTCTAGCTTCACTTTGTCCATGAAAGCACTGTCTACATCCTGGAATGCAGAAACAGAATGCTTCTAAAATTTCGCTCAGACACAATCAAAAGCATTCAGGGTATTCCAAGCTACGTATAACCAATTTCATGAACAGGATATAAAAGATGACGTTTTGACTGGATTTGAAGCCATTCATTTACCTAGACACAAAGAAATAGATTTTCTACACAGAAATACAATCTTATGAGAATTTCTCTGTAATGTAGATTGAAATGCTATGATGTGCATAAGAAACTGCTATCACTCTTCGAATGAGAAACAACAATAATATGGTGTGAAGTCCATTCTGACCTTTGGTGACCCTTTCCATGACTCTCTAGGAACAGAGTGCATAGGAGTGGTTTTTCATTCCCTTCTCTCAGGGTGTCCTGGACAGCATAGCTTGGCCAGGGCTATGCAGGATGGCCCTTCTGCAACACACAGTGGGGGAATCAAACTCCCAACCCCTGGCCATGTGGTCTAACTCATGAGCGATGTCATCTCTGAACTAATCACATGTCATGTGATGAAATTTGGTAGATTGCAGCAAGGGAGCTGCCCTGCTATGTACTGAACCTTGACCCAGAATCAGAGCATATAAAAGCTCTTCCATGTCCCTTGCCTCTCAGTTCAGAAAAAGAAGTCTGTATTCTTAGCAAAATAAGTTGATAGAGACCATCACTAAAAATTAGGATTGCTTCCTGCAAAATATAGATTCCTATAGATGCTGATGCCCAGTAGAGAGGATGCTCCTGTTTAAGGAAAATCACATTAGGAACTCTTCTTAATGCTTCTGCCGCAGTAAAAAAATAAAAAAGTGGTCCCATCATGGCCATTCCCCCCACTCATCCCAAAAGGAATACCAATCTGCACAGAATTACAAAGTTCATGCACAAAATTGTGTCTTTCTTTCACCAGTTTCCTTGAAAAGAGGATTGAGGTACACAGAATTTTGTATGGGGGGGACCCACAACCACCCCCAAAAGATTTTTTTAAAAAATAAGAAAAATGAGAATCTTGTTTTTACAGGAAGCCAGAAAATCTTGCTGGTGCTGGGGGAAGTCAGAGTGTAGAGTCTTG